TTTGTGTTTATAAGGCTCTGCTAGAACCATTCTTGTCTCTGTGACTGCACTGCAGCCAAAGATAGCATTTGTGAGCTACTTACAATAATAGCATTGGGAGTGACTAAGAGTCAAAGTTACAGTCTCTGAGGCATTGGCACCAAGTGCATCCCACATTTAAGAGGAACCTGCTTCCCTTTTTCTCTGAAGAGATAATTCTCATGAAAGGGAAATAAAACACTGCATACCTGCTAAGCTTAGGGTTTGCCTGTGAAAGGATGGCCCTACCTGAGTACAATACTTTACTGATGCTGTGCATTTAATCCTTAAAGAGATTTACAAAATGCCCAGTTTGCACATCTAACCTTCCACTTTCAATTCTAAATAACTATGCATAAAATCACTTGGAATAATCTTTGCTATGTAACCACAGCAAAAGAGAAAATTAATGTTGAAGTCTTTTCCTTAGAAAGGTTAAAGCAGATTTTCCTAATGTATTATTTAACGCTTGTTATGGAGTGCATTAAGAAGTCAGTACTGAGGGGAAAGCTTTTAAAAGCCAACAACCTTTTTTTTTCCTTTTCTTTTTTTCTTCCCCCACCCCTTTCCTCCCTTTTTGATTGCATTCAGTGTTACCTCAGATATTTTGGTTAAGTCAATCTCAGAGAAATAAATGAATTAATACATCCCTACCTGGCCAATTTATGGAGGCCAATCAAGCCACAACAGTGGATATGGCCAAGTGGAGAACAGGCATAGATTTAACTTAGTGAGGTCTTTATTTAATCAGCAGACTCAAGAGAGCTGAAGTCAGCAGGCCAAGATGATATAAGAGGCAATGGAGCAATAGTGCCTTTACCGCAACTGAGGGAATAGCAGTGATGGAAAGAGGGGCTTGGTGCTGTCAGATGGCCAGAATTTATTCTTAATCATTCACTCTAGTCCTGATGTTCAGACTTAACTACTAGTGCTTATGTAGCCAATGCAGCACCCCCACCCTACCCACGCCCACACACAACCAGGTAATATAAAGGGACTTGAGGGGGCTCCCAAGGTTCCCTAGATGGCAGAGGAGAAGGAGCAAAGACAGCAAGGGTGCACTACCAAAGCTGCCCACTAAGCATTAGCAAAGCTGCAGACTGCTCACTTGTGGTGGTGGTGGCGGTGGCGGGAAGAAGAAAAAATCGATGGAAGGACAGTAGCCTGAAAGAAGAGTTGGGTTGCTAGCTGAAAATTCAACCCAAGCACTTGACACAGCAACATTGTGTTGTAGTTTCCACTCATTTAATGAGCATTTGAAGGATGTTCCTTTTTAAGCATTCTCATGAGAATGTCTTCACGCACTCACCCAAATATTCCCTTTTTCTTTTGGCACTTGAACCAACTCCATTATAAGATGTCACTGCTGTGTCAGAAATTACATTTTTAACTATGAAGCAGGAATGGCATCTGTAGCACCATCACCTGCAATAAACCAAAAGTAATTCCAAAAATGATTAGACTCCCCCCCTCCCCCAGATGAATGCTAGTGTTATGATAAAGCAGGAAGGAAGACAGCGTTCCTTTCATTGTGTATATCACTTAGAGATTGTATTTTCAGATAAAATTAACTAATTTTTATGATCCAGGGAGAGAGTATATTGATAGTTCTCTGAAGCAGCTGGCCTGCAGACAGTGATCTCTGATTACATTTATATTTCTGGAATAAATGCCATCTAACCATTTTCTTCCAGGAATTTGCCACTAAAGTTGTTGGGGGCAGGGAAGGAATAGCTATATGATACATCTTGGTTCTTTTGTTTTGTTTCATTTCTAACAGTTTATTTATGCTTTGGTTTACTAAGTTTACAATTATTGCTTATTTCTATTGTAATGGTGCTTGGATGCCCTGCTCAGAACTAGGTCTTTAGTTTGTGTACACAAATGTAAAAGAAAGTTTGTGTCTCATGCAGTGAATAAATTTGGATATATGAGAATTCGCAGATTAATGTCCTTTGCTGCTAACAATTCTGTAGAAATATATGACCAACTGAAAAATGATGTCCTTGCTTAATTGCCTCGTGCAGGACAGCATGGGACCATGCACATGAGTAGGAATGAGTAATGAATATTTTGACGTGACTCAAAAACCTTCACCTGGCATTCAACAATCCCAACCATGAAGAAAAGGTGGAAATGCTGCACTAGTTCCTTTCTCTTCTGCTCAGCCTCCCTCGGTTGACAGGGAGGTCAAACCCTTTCTTCCCAATGAAATGGGTTTACTGGTTCACTAAGGAAGTCCATATAAGCCACCAAAGCAACATTCCCTTGGTGCCAGCAGGAGGAGTTTAGCACCGGAAAATCAAATAAGGGCCCATGTTAGTTGGCTTGTTTACCTCCCCTCTCTTCTACAGCACAAGGAAGAGCCCATGATGTGACAATTGTCAGTTCTTAAATTGGAATTGGTTTTCCATGGGAGCATACAGGCCATGGATAGACAGTATTTTGCCTCATCGTTCATGGGAGAGGCATAATTTGCTTTTGCATTTGGTGGTGGTAGTGCATTTATATTGTGTGTGTGTGTTGGAGGGGGTGGGAATCTGTGTGATTTTGCATGTATTAGTTTGGCTGTGCTATTGGTGTGTATGTGTTCGGCATTTTGCCTGTGTTTTCTCCCATCTGGTGTTAATGGTGTATGTTTCACCATTTTGGGGTTGGTTGGTTGGTTGGTTTATCCATTTGGTGTGGTGCATGTTTTATTCCTTGTAATTTTTCATTTTTGGTATGGTGTGTGTTCCTGTCTTCACTTTGTGTTTGCTTGCTTGTTTGTTATATGTGTGTGTTTCTCTGAACATCTCCAGCTTTATAGCTTTCCTTCTGTGTACTGGTTGTGGATCCTGGGATCATATGTGGATGGACATTTCAGGCTTAGATCCAGTTTCTGCCTTGTATTTTCTTTCTTGATCAGATTATTTTTATATGCTTGTATTAAAGTGTTATGGTTTTATATTATTTATGTTATCTTTTGTTGTGGGTTTTCTGTTTTGTTTTTGCTGTTAACCATCTTGGGTATGTTATATTGAAAGGTAAGGTAAAAATTCAATAAATATATTAGCTTGCCTTCTGTGAGATAAATATTTTGTTGTGCATTGTGGAGTCAAGTACACGGTATGGTATTTAAGGATCAAACCAAGCCTCTGCCTTGTACTGCTTCTTGGACAAGATGATTGCCATGTGCTCCCTCCAGTAGCAGAGGCAGTATACCTGTCCACACCAGTTGCTGGGGAACATGGGTGGGAGAAATGCAGTCATGTCTTGCTTCTGGGATCCTATGGACAGTTGGTTGGCCACTGTGTGAACAGAATAATACACTAGATGGACCATTGATCTGATCCAGCATGGCCCTTCTTATATTCTTATGTTCCTATGTTAAATGCCTTTACTGACTGCAAAGTTAGCAACTGTAATCCAGATTATTAAAACCAACGAATGTTTTGCTTCTGCATTTGCTGATTGCACTCAGTAGGATTTAAACTATGACATCCAGATAGTTTACTTAATAATTTATGATTCCTTTAGGTGGCCTGGCAGAATAAAATCTCTAAGTGGTTTACATGCAAGAGAAATCTTAGCCAGTATACAGAGCACTTGAATGACATACTCAACAGCCCAGTTTTAAACTCATCTACTCAGACATATTTCCCAGTTACTTTGTATGCATTGTACCATTGATGCTTGTAAACCCCGCAACTTGGAGGCCTACAAGCATCCCAGACAAGGCAGGGAGATATCTCTGGCTCTCTGCTGCTCCTACTCTGCATTTTCGATGGCTGTCTAGAGGGAAGCAAGGCAGCCACACAGGATACTGGGTAGCACATATTCTGGCCTTTTCCCCACCAGTCCCTGGAATACCCCCTTACCTCTCTCTAGTGGCAAATGTGCTTATTTTAAAGTTTTAAAAAAGGAAGCTGGATTGTCTAGGAAGTCTTAAAGTGAGAGAGGTATAATTCAGAGGGGGAAGAGAGAGAACCTGCCTGAAAAACTCAGAGGCCCAAACAGGAAGAGGGAGATGAGGTAATTAGGAACAACATAGCAATGATGGGGTATTCTCAACAGGGCTGCTAGAATGTGTGGCAACAGCAGGAGAGAGGAGGGGCAAAAAATGGTGAAACCAGCTGGGGTTTGTGATCTTCAGTCAGGGAAAACGGGGTAAATTACCACTAGACTGGGCAATCCCAACCCATGCTTGCCATGACTTACAAACCTGCCCCTTGAGCGATTACCTCAGTATACTGGAGAGTTTAGATAGGAGAAGATTGACCAAAGCACCTTTACCAGTCAACTACAACTGAACTGGACATGACAGATTGGAGGTCTCTTGCCAAATTCAAAACTGGGAGTCCACAGTGCTCTATTCCACCCCCAACCTCGCAGCATTCTCTCTGGATTTCAGGTCTGGATTGTAACCTTGAACATGCTCATTATGGAATAAATGATGCTGCATGTTCCATTTCCATCTAGCAAACAGAACCAACCCCGCATGGGCTGGAATTGCTCAAAGCAGTTACAAAGCTGTCAGAGCTGGACACATTTGGCCTTCCCCATCTGAGTAAAGCCGTGTCTGGTGGCACTCATAGGCATGGCTCCTTGAGGGGAGTTCCCACTTTATTCCCCATTAGGAAGGCCAGCTGTATAATCCTATCCCTTGGACTACCCATCCTTGACTGAAAACCTCTACACTGGTTAGGAGAGTAACTGAAGATGTTATTGTGGGCTTCAAACACAGGAACATTTTAAAAGTAATTAAAATTAATTCATATAGCCTAAAAACAAAATACTTTCAGCGTGTATACCCCCAGGGGCCCCCTGGTATGCAAGCCAAATTGCAGATGTCTTTCTTACATTGTCTTGGCAGCATAGTGCTGCTAAACAAACAGATGGACAGCTACACATAGACGTCCTCACAGAGGGCTATTAAAATTATCATTTTGTTATTGGCATAATCTAGCAAGTAACCAACATTTTTGTTTGTTTTCCTTCAGATGTTCTTGGAGTCATTCCAGGAGATAAGAGTGAATCCAAACCAACGGTGAAAAAGATGGATGCCACCACCACAGCCACTATAAAATCATCTCCTAAGCAGAAAGTAGACAGGGATGTGGGCAATCAAGTTTCACCTTCCTTCCTTTTTATTCTTACAGCCCTAGCAGTTTTGTGGGACCCTTTGTCATAGCTGCATTTCATTGCAATAACTGTGCAATTTCTGCTCACTGTCATTTATACCTACAGCCTTATCCAAGTGAAAACAATGCTAAGTGGATCTCTAAATGGTGCGCTCTAGTATTATGTGGTATGTTAGTATAAGTGCTAAATATTAGTCTGGGACTGGCTAACAGCAAGCGTGAGTATGTACACAGTGTCTGGAGATGGTTCTTGCCAACATCTCATCTACTCAAGATGTAAAAAGGATGAAGAAAAGAAAGCTGAGTAGATTAAATTATTGTGATAGATACAGTTAAGAGTGTTGAAGTTGTAAATTAATATGTTGGCATTTCCCCCAACCCACCCTCTTTTGCTCATTGAATCATGGACTGCTGTCTATTTGAGATTTCATATGAGTTCCATTGGATAATCAGATTTCAGGTACATGCCAATAATCGTGTATCTGTAGGGATCAGCCACTATATTGTAAGCACCATCTCTACCTGTTGGATACAATTCCAAAGTGGTCAGGAAAATCATAGCATGTTTGCATCTCTTTCTTTCTTGATGTTTAGAATGTAGAAAGCAATATAAGTACCATATGCTGTGTTTAATGAATCAGTATAGTTGCCTTAACCATATAGCAACATGTAGAAACACTTCCTAAGGTATTTTGAAACATAAGGAAGTGTTTCCCTACCCATGTATTTCCTTACCATATGCTTACGACTTGACTGCGTTGCTATTGTCTGACAACTAGAAAGGGGAAGGAAGAGCATTAGATTAGCAGTCATTGAGTTCATGGATGTTGTAGCAATGAAATTAACAAAAACACAGAACCAGATGTCTTGACATGCAGCCTGGAATCAGTACTGCAACACTCAGCACAATCAAGTGATCAGCATTGTTTGAGCTCATAGGGCTTACCACCTGTTAGTTTGCAGTTGTATATATGACCTCACCAAGAAAAACTTACTTTCCATCCCTTTTGCACACCAGAGGCACGGTCCAGAAGTTGATTGATCATCCTTGCTGAACTGGAGAAAATATTTACATCCAGTTACCAGAAAAATAACAGTTATTTGTGTTATCCCAAAGGGGATGTTGAGGTACTGTCAATAGCTGGTGTGCGGTATGTCCCACAGTCGCTATTTAATTACAATTAATGTTTTATTGTGCTATGATAGGTAAAATAACTGAAAGAAGCATCAACTTAGAATGATGAATTCTATTATTTTTGTCTAATATGTATTTTCAGGATTTTTTATGTTAGTATAATGAGGGCATTTTAATTATTAAAAAAAGATGTGCTTTACAGTGTGAAAAGGAATCACAACACAAACATGAGATGGGAGAGGGCTAAGACATTATTTTTAACAGCCGTTTTTACAATGTCATTTAAAATATACACTACAATCTTAGTAGAATTAACAATTATAATAGTCATTATGTCTCAGATTTCTATTTACTAACAAAGACAATAATTCACATAACTGAAGAGTTTTCATGATACAGAATATTACAGTGTACAGTTTTATAAGATATAATGTAAAATATTTGCCTTTGGGGTGTGTATGTGTGTGAGTGTGTGTGTTAGCCGTGTGTGTGTTGGCTGTGTGTAAAAACAGTTAGTTCAGCCATTTGATTTACATACAAAATATACTCAGTGTAGTGCATTAGTCTTAGTAGATTACTGTATTTAGGATGAAAGTGCAAGGCACAACTAGAGAACTGTTCTTTGTAGCTGCTGAAGTTTTAATGTGCACACAGAATTCTTTGCCTCCAATGGCTAACAGGCATATGCATCTTCAAGCATGACCTTCAGTCGCTTATTATTTGATTGGCATCTTATACTTAGATCCCAATTTTCATGTTTTAGAGTTTCAGGACATGGGCCAGCCAATTGTAAGTACTTTTGTCACATGATTATAGCAGAAAAGCTTAAATATCTTTCATTAAAACAAGTGGGATTTTGAAATGCCCATGTTGTTCTAGATCTCATGGTGAAAAATCTGAGACAGTACATCCAAAGGGCTTAGAAAACAGAAGACAAATTACAAGACTGTCATTTGTAGCTATTACAACAAAAAAAAATCTAATGGCCACCCTGTTTGAAAGGCTTAACTCATCATGAGCACATGGAATTAACAATAGGGTGATTTTTGGCTACCCTAACAAAGGAGGCAAAGACAGCAAGAAGCTTTATTTATTCTAGGAAAGCTCCTCCAATAAAGATAAAGTATACAGAGATCAATTGTACTCACAATTAAGTTCTAGCAATTTACCATCTGCAAAGAAAAAAAAGTCGCTGAACAAATAACAGCCTTCTCCTTGGTTAGACTTTTATAAGATTGTGGACATGGATGCATCATTTATGGACTTTAAAATGAATTTAAATTTTCATATTGATATTTCCAAAAATATATCAACTGTTTCAAATCACACTGGAAAATTGCAGATGGAGTTAAAGGAGTGTGCTGCTTACGTAAGCCCCATTCTTTAGAGATGGGTAATTATAACTGTTTTACACAGCATATTAAAATCATTCGAAAGGATACAGAATTCATATTTTGGAGGGTTGCAATGAAAGCTTTTTTGTGCATCTTTAACTGAACACAGGTCTGGAAACAGTGGCAACAATTTCATATAATGCAATTTAGACAGATACTTCCTCTTTCCCTTCTATGAAGCAAATGCCACAGGATTGTTCCTGCTCAAAAAAAATGAATTTGGGAAAAGAGGGAAGGCATTTTAATTCAGAGAGGTAACTACAGCTAAACAAAATTACAATAATACCTAGAAATTACCATTTGGAAGTAATAATCAATTGCTTTATCCCTGTGCAGAATGCAGTAAAACCATAACGCAGAGTTATATCGTTTGCATTTTATCATGGCATTTCTTTTTTCCTGGTAAATAACAACTTGCAATCACACCATTTGAACCTAATGTAACACTGCTATGGTAAAAATCATTAGTTGTATGGTGCAAGCAATTAACATTTGCTCACTTTGTCTATTACAAGAGGATGCGTAATTTGTCCACCATGCCCTTGCTCTGCACCTAATTAGTACCAGAGTAAAATGCTCTCAAGGCAATGAACATTTCATTTAGAGGGCGGGAGGAATGTATTGCTAGGTTTATACGTGCTTTGCAATTGTGCACTTGTAAAATGCTATTCATCTTGAGCTGTGTTCCCACATGGGAGGCCTGGGACCGCCAGTGCCAGGCTCACAGGCACCAATGTGGCCTAGAATCTCCTTTGGTGGCCACCAGGCTTCCTGCTCCACTTGATTTCAATTTTATCCCTTAAGACTTTTTAAAACTATTTTTTAATTGGAGGTGGGTATGCTGCAGAGAAAAGTATCATCTGTATTTTGATTCAAAGGAGTGCTTTTGTGTTTTGGAGCACAAGCCCCACCTCAGCCTTCTACTTAGATTCCTCAGCAAATTAATTTTCTTTTTTGTCTTACCAGTTTACCTTTTGGGAAATGAATGCTTTGTGATCAGTCATGCCCACCATAATAGCCATGTTATGAATTGTCCAGTCTTGGAGCACCAATGTAAGAAACCCATGACAATCTGTCAAAAGTCAAAATGTGGTCACTCTTCCAGAAATGTTGGAGATCTGTGGCATTTTTGAAAATATCTCTCAGCCACCACAATGACAGCATAGCTGATTTACTGTCTGATGCCCTATGTTCCTATCCTTCAAATGTATTGGACAAAGAACTATACAAAACTCATAAATTCCTTCTCAAAGCTTCAAAACTTCCATGCTGAACTTGTGAAAATGGGGCCACATTGTTTTAAAAGCTTCTGAAATAACCTTAAAGTACATGGATGCAGGTACTTAGCTTTGGTTTTCCTCCTGGCTATACCTGTGGTTATACTAGTTGCTGTTGTGTTGATAATCTTTGAACTGACTGACAAACTTTGAGATACAAATATAACAACATTGCTAACTTCTACAAATGTAGAAACATCTAGGGCCAGCAGGATTCTGATCTACATTTTGAGTTTGGAGGATGAACCGGACTTTTCCTTTAGAAAAGTTAACTGAAACTTAAATTCCTAGCAAAAGTTCTGACACTGGACACTTGCCAACTCCATGGAAAATGAGAAGGATGTTTTCCAGTTGCTTCTGATCCTGACTTTTTTTGCAGATAAATAGAAACTCCTTCAGATTTAAGACTATGATTCTAGTCTCTTTCTTGGAAGCAGCAAACTACTGACTAGAACTGCATGGAGAAGGCAGACTTTGGCTCCTCTTCTCTGTGCCCCATCACTGTCCCTACAATCCTAGTCCCTTGCTTCCGTTGCAGCCTGTACACATTAATTGGTGTTTCTGCTGCCTCCATACACTCATTCAGGATCTCGTGGACTTTATGGTGTTGCTATCTGATTATGCCACTGCAATGAACAGATGCACAATATATTTGAATTGTGGCATTATGGACAGAAAGCCAGTATCCTCAACATCATCATCAATTCAGCCCTCTGTTTAAACTAGGCACATTTCTAAACCAAGCTGTAGCATGGCAAGGTCTATGTCAAGAATGGACAAATGTCTAGGGGAAATTTTTGCCTACACCATGGAAGTGAAGGAATTTTAAAAATAATAATTGCTGCTGAAATTCAATGGCAAACCATTTTGCAGTGCTGTATTTGTCCATTTTAGCACCCTATGCGCACTACAGGGTGCTATGTAGTTTGGTGGGATTGGTTGGGGTGGGTTTTAATCATTTTAGGAGGCAGTGGAGGGGCTGTTCCAGTGTGTGACTAGGTTCTGCATGCAATCCACATGTCACCCAACCCTCGTCTAAGGACCATTAGGAAGGTGCCGCAAAGCAGTAGTTGGCTATGCAATGGCCTGCAGGGATCTAAATACCTATTGCTGTTCAGAAGTTGGATTCCAGGAGCCATATTTAAGCCCATGTGCACAGCTTATGTTGGCAACAAAACCAGGTTTTCTGCTTCCTCTACTTTACTAAATTTTGATGGAGGCAAAGAAACTGATAACAGTGGATC